GGGCACGTCGAGGTTAGGGGTATGGATGTGTATCTCCCCTGGCTGGCCAGCTGGGTGTAACTTTTTGTCAGGAGGGCTGGAAACTGAAATCAAAAGATTGTCTCCTTTTTTTATATATATATAAAAAAAAAATATCTCTACTGTACTACCTGAACTGTGACGCTTTTACATGCACAATACTCAAAAGAACTACTTTGCAATATGTATTTAAATGTCTTGAATGGGGAAGATTGAGTGGATCTGGTGCTTTTTACTGTTTTATAAGGAATGCAATAAATATTTGATTTAAAACCGCTTCATAATTGAAACGCCTCCGTGTGCTTAATGTTTTGCAAGACTCTAACGCTGTAAAGGGGAGGAAGGGCATTTGTTGATATCTCTCCTGACCAGTTCCTCACAGGGCAGATTGTCTTTCTGCAGCAGGGCTATCCTAGTAAACCTACAGAAGAAGAGCTGAGCCACAGTGCTCAGTCTCTGTAGGTGGTTTGTATGAGCCACTTCAGTGCAAAGACCTGATGCTGCAACATCAGCCTGTGCTGACTCCAGACCAGTACAGACTCAGAGGTCCATCCCAGTTGCCATCTTACAAGTGAGTGTTTACCAGGAACTAGAAGTTGACTACTTTTCTTTTACCTAGTTTAAAATAAACAGGACCTGACTCAAAAACTACATCTGAAGAGTCAACTGAAGCCCTGTTAACCAGCCCTGATCTCCTAGGGGTAAGGAAACAGTCTCAAGTACAACCGCTGCAGGAGAAGACCCTTGGGTCATCCCAGATCCGGGCAACTTCTGCAAGTGTGAGGTGCAGGGCTTTGCCCTTGCACTTTTATGAACATACTGTATTCATCTACAAACATACAAAAATGCAAAACACTTCGCAGCTCTCCTGGGGAGAGAGACGGCGTGGAGCAGCTGTGTGATGCAATCCCAGGCTGCGGGCAGATAGACAGCTGTGACGAGACCCATACAGAGTCCAAATGGTGGATAGTCCTCAGAGCAGGGCCTGATCCAGGCTCAAGTGAACCAACAGACCTGGTTGAATCATAAACAGGCTTTGCTCATTGCCAGACAGTCCCCAGAAGCATTGGGCAGGAATTATCTTTTATTTTCCCTCTCTGCCTTGCATTTTTCCCAGGAAAACACTCCTTATTAAGGACTAGAAAATAAAGGATTTGGATATTTTGACTTAGATAGCTTTAGACTTCTAAAAGCTGAGCTGTGTGAAGTTTTTTGATTTTTGTGGGGGTTTTTGGATTTGTGTTTTTTTTTCTGAACTTCAAAGTAGGTTAGAAGCATGAGATGCAAATCAAAGTCTTACGTGCCCTTTAGCCAACTAGACACGCTTGGCTACACTTGCAGCTGCGCAGCCTTATTTTGGAAATTAAGTCCCTCTTTGTTTCTTCCTTATTTAATGAAGGGTCAAAATCCTGCTTGTGCTGGCACATCAAATGGCTTTGGGAACACGTGGCGCACAGCTCTCTGAATGGATCATTTATATTGCTTAGTGAAATCAGCTTCACAATGCCATTTTTGCTTGTCTGGTGGAGTTTTGCACTGGTAAGTGTTGGAATAACTCCTGCACTCTTTAAGATCTTGAAGAAAAACGGATTAAAACAGCGTTGCTGTTAGAAACTTGCTCCCTGTTTTGAGGTGTACTGATATTTTGGGGTTTGTTTTTGCTATAGGGCTGCACAGGGCAATGCTGTGGTATGTGGAGAGTGAAAATTCAGCCACAGCAAAGTCCTTGTCCTAAAATGGGGAGGTGAGTGATGCTATCTTGAGCAGGGAATAAACATGACCCTCTTAGCTCTTGGTTGAGGCTGGCCAAAGAGGCTCGCAGGATATGGGGGAAGGTTGTCCCTCTCGAGCATTGCACAGGCAGTGCCGTTTCAGCAACCCTAAATTCAGGAATCCCGTCCCCTTGTCTGAAATGATGGTGTGCAATTGTTTCCATTGTGCTCCAGAGCGATTGCTCAGCCCTCATTCTGGAGCTGTCTGAGCAGTTTGCAATCTTTAACCGTATTACTGCAAAACAAAGTGCTCTGAGACTCTTGGAGATGAGAACAAACCTGTGCCTGTACGTACAGTTGTTGCAATGCGCTTCCTGGCAGCTCTCTGTGCTATGACAAAGGGCTGTGAGGACCAAGCCTGGACACATTCTCCTTCTGAGAGACCAAAGTGTTGTGATGCCCCCTTTATAGATGGGGAAAGCTGAAGTTTACAGTCCATGACCTGCATTTGCTGTTACTGCTGTTGGGGCAGCAAGAGTACAAACTCTTGTTTCCCATGTCCTGTACTTAAAGGCTGGATCAGTCTTCTCTATGTGCTTAAATTCTCAGTTTAATGTGGGAGTAGAACCCTAGGGTCAGTTCACCTAACACGCTTCTTGCTTCCTACCAAGTGTACAGAGGCTGAAGAACATCATGGACCTTTAATTTTCCACTGAAATTACTTTGATTCCTAACCTGTTGTTAGCTTGTGAGTGGTTCTTTCAGCCATCTGGTAACGTGAGCTTGTCCAGCAGCATAAAACATACATAACCTTAGCTTCAAAGCTCGTTTTGTCTTCGCCAAATGAAAGCTTCACTGCAGTGTTCGCTGTAAAATATTTATTGTGAAATGGATAACTGGAGCCTTAATGAGAACTTGAGTATATTGCTCCAGGTGCTTCATATGGCTGGGAAGTTGGACTTGACCATTGTTCTTTTCAGGCCCTGAAAGAACTATGTTTCCTTGGCTGGAGGAGGAGAAAGAGGAATAATGATGCACCTGAAGCATTAGCAGTATGTGTGTGTGTATATATATATATACATATTTATATACAGGAGAGATGAGACGAGAGAAGAGTCTAAGCCAATTGCTCCCCTTAGCAATACACTTGAACAGTAAAACATAAGAGGAGAGTGAAGATTTCAAGGAAATCTATTTTCAGTAGGACAGCACGAAGATAACAACTACCGAACCCTGGATTGTCTAGAAGTTCATCACGTTGTGCTAATGAAACGCAAGGTTATTCGGAAATGGGCTGTGTGACCTTCCCACTGGCTTCTAGGGTGGAGAAGTCAACTTCACAGATGCTCGTTTTCATTTCATTTCTGGGCCATGAGCACGCTGCAGAGCATTAACCTCTTCGGTTATTGCATGCTCAGGACTGTGCTGAAGGTCTTGCCTTCAGTTCTCCCTTGCAGGAGAAATATTTCTCAAGATAGCTGGGCCCAAAGCAGTAATTTTTTCTTTGTTTTGTTCCAAAGCATGAGCCTTGGCATGAATTTTGCACTAACTGAGCTCTCTGTAAGGATCCAGAGTGCAATTAAATCTGCCTGGTTGCTTTTGGCTGCTTCCCTCTTCCCCACAGCACATGGTGTGAATAAGCAACCGTGCTTGCTACCTGCTCTGCTACCACACTGCCAGCAGTACTGACTTGATGATCAAGCGACTGGAAAATCACTGCCCCACCTCCAGCAGCTGGAGCTCCTACAGCAACAATATGATTTAATTGTTAAATATGCAAAAAATCAGTCAAGATTGAACCTGTTTCTGTAGGTCTCTGGCAACTCTGTTTTCTCCTAACACATGGATGTCATTTAGCTCCTGGAGATGTTTCCACACCCACCCTCCTTCCTTGCAGTTCTGGAAAGGCAAGAGTATACATGAGCTCAATTTGGCCTTGCCATGTAAATGTCTGTAGTTGTCAAAGTCATCTTTGGCCAAGTTCTCTACTAAGCAAAGTCCCCTGTGGCTGATCTATAGCATTATTTGGTGATGCCTCACTTTAAAATAGACCACAGCCTTGCAGTTTGGGTTTGGAGATTTCTTTGCAGAGCAGCACCACCTGCAGTGGGGGTGGCTGG